AGTCACCACATAAGGATCCATGTTGGACGCAGGCCTCCTGTCCTCAAAGTACCCTTTCCCAGCCTTCTCTGTGTCTCGTCCAACACGAATGGATGATCCGCGGTTTGCAACACCCTGTTGCCACATAACGATACCAATCAACATCGATTGTTTAACTAGAATTCCAAATTAATAACAACATGAAGCATGCTTCTCTTTTGTATTTACCCATTTAAAAGTGTTGATGTCAGCTGTTTCATGTTGCCCAGTGAGACAGCCCTCATTGCTTTCTCCGTATGCAGCAATGTGTTCCTTGTGCCTCAGCCCCAGCATTTCGATTGCTTTCTTGATGACCTCATACCCCCCTTCATTCCTCATGGACTTGGTACTAAACAAGTTAAAGCAAAACACCATGACGCATTACACATTGGTAGTCAGGAAATTAAAATTTTTCTAAGTCAATCAAATTTGTACCTGTACTTTATGTGAGCGCCGGCTCCATTCCATTCACCCTGATAAGACAAAGGATAAGCCATTTTTCAAAATATAATAATTGAAGCCTAACATGATTATCCTGTCCCTATCTTTAATCTGATCAGCAAAAACAAGGCTTCAAACCAAAATGGAGCACATAAAGGGTAATGAGATGAGACAAAAAGTTTCTAACCATAATTGGTTTGGGATCAAAGGAGAGCACAACTCCAGCAATCTCTGTAATCCTCTGTCAAGAAAGGAGCAAAAGTGTTTAGCAGAAAGTTAGTACTCGAAAAACATAATCGCCATAGCTTCTTTTTTAGGGTATGTTAGATTAGATTACCTCAAGAATGTAACGAGCAACCCACAACTGATCCCCAGCAGAGATGCCAACTGCAGGACCAACCTGAAACTCCCACCATAGAACATAAAGAATATGAAAATATAATAGCATAGATAAGTGAGTAGATCGATCCAACATGGCATTGACAACAAACTTTAAAGAAGCACATTCAATTACCTGGCCTGGCATCACTTCTCCATTGATTCCACTGATATTGATGCCTGCATATAAACAAGCTTTGTAATGCGAATCAACAA